TGCACGTGTATAATTACTATTATTCCAAAAAATGGATTTCTATGACTCTATAATTCACTCTGAATCCTTGAAGATAGATTGTCTTAATAGGGCCATGTGGACAAAGGTTAAGCCATTGACCTGGGGTATAAATTGCTTTTCCTCTTAAGCAGATTTGCCCAACGGGGAGCTCCAGGAACTGATACCAAAGAGACAGTTTCTTCAAGTCCTTTCCTTGCATATATGTGCATGGGCTGTATGTGTGTGGAGAGCGCAATGTGTGATTATCAATAGGATAGTAATGTTGGCACTTCTCATACTACTCAAATACATTAAAAATAAAATCTCTCTTCTTATTGCCCATTTCATTTTAATTTCTTTCACAGCCAGCTCATCTGAGCCAAAAGGAAAGCAAGAATTTTCCACCTTGCTGCTTAATTGGCAGTCTGACATTTGGCCCCTTGCACCTCTCAGAAGTTTGGCCACAATGACTAGCCTTCTTCACGCCAAGCAGCATTAGCGCTTTGTTAACACTAGGCAGCGGCACAAGCACAAAGTCTCTTTGTGGTTACAATGTGACTTCATGTAGCTGACATCTGAGCAGAAAAAAAAAAAAAAAAACCACCAAAGAAGATCTGGACAGTTTCTTTATGAACAAAGAGGAAGTATAAAGAGACCTATGGCATAATCTGGTTTAACAAGAAGTTAGTGCATCACCATGGCTGCTGCTGATAGAGTTTTGCAGGGACAACAGGAATTAGGACAAGTTTAAATTATCAACAGAGTAAGCCTGGAAGCGGGCATGTGTTTTTGGTAGGTGGGGAGAAGCAAGCCTGCAAAAAACTCCTTCTCCACATGTCTTCAAGCCTTGCTTTTCACTATTTCTGCTAATATCTTATCATAATCCAGCAAACAACTGCCATATCAACCTCTGTTGAAAATTATTGAATATGCACCACCTTTGGAGAATTTGCCTGGGGAAAATGGCTATTCTCCATGCTTCACCCACGTTACTCCTTAGAGAGTCTATGAATATCTGAGGGTTCTGAATCTATCATCCACATACTAGGAAGAAGAAGAACCCAATACTTCCTACTAGTTTGGAATGCCATGTACAACTGACTAGATTAATATTGATGATTTGTGTTTGCTACAAAGAGAGAACACTCAACTAGTTAGGGAAGAGATTTTGTGTGTCCAACTTTCTGCATGGAATCTGACAGCCCCTACTCCATTGGGGTTGCGATAGGTCCTTCACCTGGGTCTTGGATTCTGTATTCTCTGTAGTGAAACCTCTTTTTGCTGGACTCTACCAGCTCAGAATAGAACCTGAGGCCATGCTTTTTATTTCATTCTTTTTGCGCTCTAAAAAAAGATCCTGAAAACTATAACTTTCCAGCAAAGGTCTAGGGCTGACCATCAGTAGAATGAAAATCCCCTTATGTTCTGTCTCTGTGCTTAGGGCTTCCTAACTTTCCACACAAAGGGCCATATTCCTCATGCTGTTTCCCTCTTCCCTCTTCAGTAAGCCTCTTGCATCCCTCATTTACACTAAGATAGGGATTCTCCATCTCACCACTATTTATATTTTGAGCTGGATAATTCTTTGTTGTGGGTGACAGGGGTGCATTGTAGGATTCTTAGCAGCACTCCTGGCCTATCCCGACCAGACATCAGTAGCATCCTATTTCTCCAGTGGTGACAACAAAAATGTCCCAGACTTTGCCAAATGTCCCTCTGGGGACACTATCACTTCCAGTTAATAACTAGTACTAAAAGGGACTTCAACAGTGGTCCTTTCTCAGGGAATTGGCAATAAGCTATGGAGACTATCTTATGATAGATGTTCAGGCATTTTACTAGCTTAGTGACCTTCTTTGGGATCCTGAAATCACTTAATCAAGGTAGCCCCTTCCTGAGGGTAAGGTAGCAGATGTGGTCATTAGCTATTTTACCAGAATTTTATAATGGGGACCTATAATAAACCAATCACAAGCATTTGGCCGAAATCAGTAGCTTTGTTATGTGTAAAACCTCCTATTCATTGCACTTCTGGGCCAACGCACTCCCTTAAGTTCCCAGAATGGCTCTCTCCTGGGCAGAAAGGATGATCTCCATTCCTTAAATGATGAATTTCCAAGCTCAAAATATACAGCTATAAAACCCTAGCACCTTAGAAGCCAGTATCTGTGTGCATAGGCTCACATAATTTACAGCCCTAACCAGAAGGTGATGTCATCAACCAAGACACATATTCCACACCTCGTTTTCCCGTGGTAGGATTTACACTTTCTTGGAGAATGTTAAGTTGGCAAAGAGTGCCGAAAGTGAGCAACAAAGACCCAGGGCAGGCAAAAACTATTCTTTAAGAATAAAGTCCTATTCCTGTGTGGTTTGTGATCAGCCAAAATGTGAATGCTTCAGCACATTTTGTGCAATGTAAAATCATTTACCATGGCATGAATGAGGGTTACTTTAAATAGAATGAAAGAAAATTACTATTGCAGTAAGGAAGCTAGCTAATGAGCTTGAGCTTGTGGCAGAGTCCTTTTAGGGATCTGGCAAATTCAGGCAACTGACTGAAACTCGATATTAGGTCTACCGATTGGCTTGGATGATCCAATTTTAGCAAACAGGACATATGAGCACAGACCTCTAAGTCTAGGTTGACTTATGACAGTAAGACAAAGACTCCAATTTCTTTTATTCTGCTTGAAAAATTGTATTATAAGACAAATGAAAAGGACTTTACCCCAAAATTTTAAGAGAATTAAAGTTGTATATTCAGCCAATTATCTGTGCTATACACATCAACAATTCTCCATTCATTTTTTTGGACTTCTTAAATTTATTTATGTAGCAAGTCTCCTGGCACTTATATTGATTCCAATGCTACTGATTAAATTGAAAACGTTGAATGATCTGTTCTAAATCTTCAGAGGTTATTAAGTTCCAACATGGATTTAATTTTTTAAACTCAACCTCAAGAGTACACACCACTTATTAATAGCTGTAAAGGCTCTGATTTTCCTCTCACTTTGAAGGTACCTCATAGAATCACAAATCCAAAGGCACTTAATTCTTCTGGCAATGAGGTTTTCTTGCTTTAAAAAAAAATTAAAGCATGGTGTGACTTTTGCAAATCTACGCCTTTGGGATGAATGGCTATGCGACAACTGAATTGGAGGCAACACAATCTTTCTTGGCCATGTGAACTGTATGTTAATCATGCAGAGTGCAGTTGATGCAAGCCCAAAACACGAAGCTAAAGCCCAACCCTCCTTACCAAGGGAGAAGCACATCATGGAAGACATAACATCATATGCCATAGCTTGAATTTTTTTCTTAAAGCGTTATGTCTAAGGGGAAATAGGCAGTCACTAGCTTAGGCCTGTGATTCATGGCCATCAGACAGTCCTGCATGGATCCAGTACACACCCTGTGCTTCTGATCCTTTTTCTCTTTCTCAGATCCTTAATGAATACAAATAAACACAAATAAGAAAACCCCTTCTTAAAATTTAAATAAGCTATATGTTTAGTCAATTTTTTCTTTTAAAATGTGTAGTGAGAGATATGGATTCTTAATAGGTTTATGGGCAAGGTGGTCGGATTTTAAATCTTATCACTAAAGCCCTATTGAATAAAAGCCTTCCCAAACCTCTGAGCAGCTCCACCCTGTATCCTTCAAATGCTTACTATTGCCCAAATACATTTTCTACTCTTGGTCACTACTGTGCAATTAATATGTTTTTCACACCATAAATAATCCTCTTCCAACCCTCAACTTCTTGGGGAATTGATGTCCAGACTGGAATCAACCATCAAGTCCTATAGGAAGCTATCCCTAGCTTCCCAAGTGGTGATAATGGTTCTTTCCCCCAATTTCCTCACCACACTATGTATCTCTGCTACAATGCTTACCGCATTACCCTGTGATTCTCTTTGTTAATATCTGTCTCCTTTGATTCATAATCTCTTCCTGGTAGCACTTAACTGTCTGTACGTCCTCAGGGCCAAGCACATAATAATAGTCTATACATTTCCAATAAAAAGATGAATGAGTGAAAAAATGAATGGGTATAAGAATTATACTGAAAACTTTCTGTCTGAAGTTGCCAAGGATTCTGCAAATGTCCATAGGATTTTCCACCTGTTAAATCAGAGGGTAATGAAAAACATTTGACTTCCCATGCCTTGTGGCATAATAAGGGGAAGGAGCTCAGTCACACAAGAAATGTATTTTTAGCAGGACTATGTTCCCACATCCTTAATCGTAGTTTGACTGTTTCATTCTTCTGGTTTTTAAAAGTTATTGTTTGGTAATTTTTCAGGAAAAAATTGAATCAAGCATTACATGTTAGAAAAATTACTATCTAACAAGGGAGACAAAGCAAGTAGCCTCAGAAGGTCACAAAACAACTCAAGGCAAAAATAGAGACTGATATTGGACATTGTACCTCTTGGTTCAAGCAGCCTATGAAATGACCCATTCAAGCTCATTATTGTCGTATTTTATAGATATTGTGGAAATGGTACTTATTAAATTACAGTTTTCTCTTTTTGAGGGGGCTCAGGAAGATGATTTTGTTTCAAACGTACTTTTGTTTTTTCTTAAAGACACAGTACATAACACACTAAATCAGCTTTTCTTCTGCCTTTGGTTCCTGGGAGGTTTAGAATCCAGTAAGTGGCTCATCTCTAAAAAGTATTTCAGACTAAGATTTACACTTTTGTGTTGGTCTCATTTCTGCCAAAATTTATCTTTTTGTCTTTGTATTTCTTTTTGCTTCTTTATCAACATCTAATAATATTATCTTACCATTTTATGATACTTTTATAGACTCATAAATCTTTTTTGAAGCAGAATAATACAAAATATTAAATATTTACATAAAAAGAAAATGAATAGTCAAAATATTTAAACACTACTGTAGCATTGTCATTGACCAGTTGGTAAGGGGCAATTTACTAACAACAAAAATGTCAAAATAGTGCATACAGACAGGACATTATTCTTGCTTATAAATAAGTTAAATAGCATAGTTCACAGTAGAATACAGAGCATTCAGCTTGGCCTCAGAAGATCAGAAAAAGCAGCATCAATCAGGATGAAAAGTACTAAACCAAAGCTCAGAAAGATCCCAGTTGGAAAGCTTGGTTTTGCCTGTTCTTTACTTTTTGGGTTGCAGTTTTCTCATATGCAATAAAGAACAAAGAATACTTGCTTATTTTACAAGGCTGCTGGAGAAGATATATGAGTTTTTGACCAAAAAAAAAGAAAGAAAGAAAAAGAAAAACAAAATACTGTACTGATGTAGAAATGCCATACCCCCTACAATTATTTGGAATTTTCAGAGAAAATTTTCAATGAGTCACACCATTTTCTTCCAATTTTTTCATACAGGGAAACATAGCTATATATTATAACTGCCTCTTCCTTAGTCTTTTTGGATAATTTTGCAGATTGCTACTGAAATTGGGGAGTTCCTCCTCCATGGAGCAGAGTAGGCACAGAGTGCTGCCAGGAGCTACCACCCTGTGCACAGAAGGCTACTCTATGCAGCAGCCTTGGGACTGGGCCACATGGCCACAGGAGCAGCCAAAAAGGAAGAAAGGATGGGGTGAAGCCAAAATTTAAGCCAGGCATCTCAACTTTAGCCCTTAGCTAGTGAGGTCATTTTCCATGTATTCTCTGTTTCCACTAGATTCAATGTCTCTTAAATGTTGAATACACAAAATCTGAACTCATCTGACGAGCCATCCAGGCTAACACGATGATGCTTGCCTTCCTGGCATTGCCATGTGGATCAGGAACTAGAGTGAGTCCAAGAATCAAGCCTGGGATTAAGGTTACACTTTGGCCACCACTTCCATGAATGTCTTGTACTTAGAGAGGATAGCTCCAGTTTCCAGAAAGTACACTCCATTATATCTCTAAAAGGCAGAGTGTTTGGGGGTTCAGAGACTGTCTTGGCTAGAATTCCTGCTCTACAATGGACTACGTGTGGGGCTTTTACCTCCATTTTCCTCCTATAGTGTGTGGGAATAATAAGATAACCTATCTCAGAATGGTAGCAAAGATCTAGGAGCTCATTCATGTAAAGCATTTGGAGTAAGTACTGCATGTAGAAATGTTCTGTATAAGTAAAATATAATTATCCATGCCCACACTAGTATGCCCTCCTATTAAAATAATACAGTTTCAAACTCTAACATTGCAAGGCTGCTACTAATTCTACACGCCCATTTCCTACACCTTCACAAAAATTATTTGTCATGACCACTAAATCCTTCTTTTCAAGGGACATTTCATCCAGGTAATCTTTTGACATCTGCTTCTCAAATGAGACCAGTGTCTATTACTTTATGTTTTATTTCTTGCATGAAAACAAAGTCTGCCTTCTACTTGAATTGTGAGCTTTCTGAGGCTAGGGCCTATATTTGTCCATACCCATATTACCCTCAGCATAACCTAAGAGTTGGTGCTGAGAAAATGCTAAATGAAATTATAAAAATCAAATAAATTTAATGTTTTGAGATACTGTGCACAGGCTTGTGAGGTGTCTGCCAAAATACCATGACTTCATAGATGCAAGAAAAAATATCTGATATTCCCAAATGCTCATTCATGAGTGGGCTAATTTCTTGAAATTCTACCCAATCATTTATTTATGTATATTAGTCCATTTTCATGCTGCTGATAAAGCCATACCTGAGACTAGGTAATTTACAAAAGGAAGAGATTTAATGGACTTACAGTTCCACATGGCTAGGGAGGCCCCACATTCATGGTTGAAGGCAAGGAGGAGTCAAGTCATGTCTTACATGGATGGCAGCAGGCAAAGAGAGAGTTTGTACAGGAAAACTCCTCTTTATAAAACCATTAGATCTTTTGAAACTTACTCATTATCATGAGGACAGCACAGGAAATACCCACTACCATGATTCAATTACCTCCCACTGAGTCCCTTCCACAACATGTGAGAATTCAAGATGAGATTTGGGTGGGGACACAGCCAAACTACGTCATTCTGCCCCACCCCTGACCCTTTTAAATCTCATGTCCTCACACTTCAAAACCAATCAGCGTTCCCAACAGTACCCCAAAGTCTTAACTCATTTCAATATTAACTCAAAAGCCTACAGTCCAAAGTCTTATCTGAGACAAGGCAAGTCCTTTCTGCCTATGAGACAGTAAAATCAAAAGCAAGTTAGTTACTTCCTAGATACAGTGGGGATATAGGCATTGGGTAAATATATCTGTTCCAAATAGGAGAAATTGGCCAAAACAAAGGGGCTATAGGCCCCAGGTAAGTCTGAAGTCCAGCAAGGCAGTAAAATATTAAAGCTCCAAAAGGATCTTCTTTGACTCCAGGTCTCAAATCCAGGCCATACCAATGCAAGAGGTGGGTTCTCATGGTCTTGGGCAGCTCCACTCTGGTAGATTTTCATGGTATAGCCTCCCACCCAGCTGCCTTCACAGGCTGGCATTGAGTGTCTGCAGCTTCCAGGCACACTGGGCAAGCTGTTGGTGGATATACCATTCTGGGATCTGGAGGAGAGTGGCCCTCTTCTCACAACTCTGCTAGGTGGTACTCCAGTAGGGACTCTATGTGCAGGCTTCAATCCCACATTTCCCTCTGCACTGCCCTAGCATTAGTTCTTCATGAGAGTTCTGCCTCTGTAGCAAACTCCTGCCTGGACATCCAGGTGTTTTCATACATCTGCTGAAATCTAGGAAGAGGTTCCCAAACCTCAGTTCTTGACTTCTATGCACCTGCAGGCTCCACACACATGGAAGCTGCCAAGGCTTGGGGCTTGCACACTCTGAAGCCATGGTCTGAGCTGTACCTTGGCCCCTTTTAGCCATGGCTGGAGCAGCTGGGACACAGGGCATGAAGTCCCTAGGCTGCACACAGCAGGCGGCCCCTGGGCCTGGCCCACAAAACCATTTTTTTTTCTCCTAGGCCTCTGGGTCTGTGATGGAAGGGGCTGCCATGAAGACCTTTGATGGGCCTTGGAGACATTTTCCCCATTGTCTTGGGATTAACATTCGGCTCCCCATTACTTATGCAAATTTCCACAGCAGGCTTTAATTTCACGTCAGAAAATGGGATTTTCTTCTCTATCACATTATTAGGCTGCAAATTTTCCAAACTTCTATGCTCTGCTTCCCTTATAAAACTAAATTCCATTAACAGCACCCAAGTCACCTCTTGAATACTTTGCTCTTAGAAATTTTTTCCACCACATACCCTAAATCATCTCTCTCAAGTTCAAAATTCCATAAATCTCTAGGGCAGGGGCAAAATGCTGACAGTCTCTTTGCTAAAACATAACAAGAGTCACCTTTGCTCCAGTTTCCAACAAGCTTCTCTTCTCCATCTGAGGCCACCTCAGCCTGGATTTCATTGTCTATATCGTTATCAGCATTTTGCTTAAAGCCATTCAACAAGTCTCTAGGGAGTTCCAAACCTTCCCACATTTTCCTGTCTTCTGATCATTCCAAACTGTTCCAACTTCTGCCTGTTACCCATATCCAATGTCACTTCCACATTTTGGGGTATCTTTTCAGCAGTGCCCCACTCTACTGGTACCAATTTACTATATTAGTCTGTTTTCACATTGCTGATAAAGACATACCCAAGAATGGCCAATTTACAAAAGAAAGAGGTTTAATGGACTTACAGTTCCATGTGGCTGGGGAAGCCTCACATTCATGGTGGAAAGCAAGGAGGAACAAGTCACATCTTACATGGGTAGAAGCAGGCAAAGAAAGAGAGCTCGTGCAGGGGAACTCCTCTTTATAAAACCATCAGATCTCAAGAGACTTATTCACTATCACAAAACAGTATTGAAAAGACCCACCACCATGATTCAGTTACTTCTCACTGGCTCCCTCCACAACACATGGGAATTCAAGATGAGTTTGGGTGGGGACACAGTCAAACCGTATCACACTGCAAAGGCCCAGAACTGTGTTGGATTCTAGGACTTTAAAACTTAATCAGACAAGACCCCTAATCTACAACAGCCTTCTTCTGGGCTGATGGTTTTAAAGCCCTATTGAGTTAAGACAATATATACACAAAAGGTATGCAATGGTCAATTGCTTGTGTATCCCCCAAATTCATATGTTGAAATCCTCATCTACAAGGTGATGGTACTAAGAGCCAGGGCCTTCAGGAGGTGATTATGCCATGAGGGCAAGCCCTTATAAATGGAACTGGTGCCCTTATAAGAGAAGCCCAAGGGAGTACATTCATCCCTTCTACTATGTGAGAAAACAGCAAGAAGGTGTCATTTATGAACCAGAAAGCTGGCCCTCACCAGATACTGAATCTGCTGGCCCCTTGAACCTAGACTTCCAACCTTCAGGAATGTGAGAAATACATTTCTTTCTTTTTTTTTTTAAGCCATCAAGTTTATAGTATTTTACTATAGCAGCCTGCATGAACTGAGATAAGCTACTTCTCTAACTATCCTTCACGCCTACGTAACATGGATAGAGCATGTCAAATACGTGTTGGCTGCAGGCCTGAGGAAGAAGCAGGAAGATCCTGAGGACCCTGGAATCTGAGGAGGCTGGGGAAATGATGAGCATCAGGAAGAAAAGGACACAGCAGGAGGATGTCAAGTCAGGAAAAGTCTGCCCAAGACACATCTCTCAAGGAACTTGCCAAAAGAGAAGACTTATTAACAACCAGAGTCAGTAAGAAAAGGATCTGAAAATCAGCATGCTCTAAAAGAAAGAGCCAACTTTGAGTTAAGTAGACCTGGCTTTGAATCTCATTTCTTTACTTAATAGCTATGAAAATATGGGTAAATCCTCAAAGTCTTTAATCTTCACTTTCCTTATCTGTACAATGCAGGTAGCCTCCCAGTTTTTTTTTTTTTTTTTTTTTTGATGCTTAAATAAAATATAAAATCAACCACTGATATTGTATGTGCTTAATAAATGTTTTTGTCCTTTCCTCCTCTCCTGATTAGGTACAGAGCTATCACTGTGTTTGGATGCACTTCTAGTCAAATGGCTCTGTAATTGTCAGGAAAATATCTATGGATATTTTTTTCAGAAACCTGGTCACATACAAATGAGGAGGGCAGGGGCTGCATGTGAAGCAGACACTGTACACTTGGGGCAGGACGTGGGATGGGCTTGGGTCTGCAGTATATAAGGTTAGCCTCTCCCAGAAATGCCCTCTCTAGAACTGGGACCCAGCAGAGACATACAGGGATTCCCTTCAGGATAAGCCCAGCCCTTCCTTATAGAGGGAACTTCTGGATGCACTGTCCTTGGCAGTTTCAGGCACAGGGAGTGCTGGGCTATGGGACAGCACAGGTCCCCTGCCTCCAGCTCCTGCAACTTGATAACCAGAAGCTGGTCCTCCTGCTCTTCCAGAGCCTGAACTGACACTGTAGACAGGTACATGGGTTGGGAGGTGTGGGTGGGCTGTGCTTCCTTCAAACATGCAACTTCAAAGTATTGGAGGATGTTGCTTGGCATGGAAGAGAGTCAGGGGCAACTGGAACGGTGATGGAATTTCCAATTATAAAAGGTTCCATTCAGAGCTGCATGCCCTGTTGCACAACAAGGGAACAAGGAGACATTTGATGGCATTAAAAGGCCTTGAGCTCAAAACAAAGAGGCACAACTTTCTCTACTTTGTCTTCTGAGCCTTGAGCCCTGTCCGATGTGATGTTAGGTTATAAAAACAAGCAACAGTTCATCCCACTCCACCTTGACAGAAGGCTTGCTTCTGGACACAGACCTGAAGGCGGTACACTCTTGGCTGGGTTTCCCCAAAGGCTGAAGCATACATTTAACCTGGACATGGGAGGAGCTGGATTAGATACCCAGCTGTCCACTGTATAAATACAAACTCTCTGAGACACATCTCCCTCCCCTATCTGATATCCAACCCATTACCAAATTCCTAATGACACTTGCACCAGCCCCACCTCCATCCCTATTGCCACTGCCATTCTGAAGTGTCCTGAGGGGCACAGTTACTGAGATTATGTTTGAAAATATTTCATAGCAGTCCAAAATCACAATGCCATCCTAAACTGGACGTTTATTAACCAGCTATTCCAACAGGTTGGATGAACAAGAGCGTGTTATATATGCATCTCATGATTTATTCTTCAGAGCAAACTTACCTGGATGAGGCAACAGAAACTCAAAGAAGCTGACAAAGGTCCAGTATATTTGTATTGTCAGAGCAGTGAATTGTCATCCACTAGATATCATTATATTCTTCTGTTTCAGCTCCCCTCATACAGTGTTTGCCTATGAGTGCAGTGTTTATCTCACTTTATGAGTCCTCTTCCCCAGTGGTGATCATGTGGAGGACAGAATCATGGCAGACCATGCTTGAAAACCCAGGAGTTTTTCAAGATCTAGGCACAGAGATTTTGAAAACTTGATTTTAAAAAGAGTTTCATATTTATACTAAATATATACATAATAATTAGTATATGAATATGTCAATTTCTACATGTACCATTTGCTCAATATTTCATTTCTGATTTAGAAATGTTATAAAGCAAAATGTGTGTGCACCTTTAGAAGTATAATCGTTGTCAGCACAATGTATGTTTTTGAAGAGTGAAAACATTTACATTTCAGGAACACAGTATCCCTGGGCAGAGACGAAAGGTACTTACATACATGCCAACTCACAAATGGAAAAATAAGGTCGCCAAAGAAACTGTTATAATGGGAATCTTTTATTTCTGATGCACACATACAGTCGGATACATGAAATTTTAAAGAATCTCTGTTTACAGGAATGATGCCAGCTCCTCTCTCCTGCACATCCTCTCTGTGGATTAATCATCAGGCCTCTGGTAACCACAATGTGACCACTATGTGAGGCGCGTTCTTCCCTAAAACAATGAAGTTCTGTCTGATTGTCTTTGGGAGGCATTTACAGCTCGAGGACATTGCTCTGTTTTATTGAAAGTACTCAGCGCTAGCGTCTTAGGACATGGCTGGGAGGGGTGCTGAGCCCAATTGGGCAATAACAGATATTCCAGTGGGACACTGAGACATTCTTACTGCAGGGCACCCAGCAGGGACACATTTTGAAAGGTGAGGAAAACAAGAAGGAACTTCATAGAGCATAGTGTGAGCGTGCAGACCCATTACTCTGATAGAGCTTCTCAATCTCAAGTCTTCCCCATATAAAAGCTACATGGAAAGAAGCCCAACTGCTGGACCCTCAGCTCTGTCTCAGTAACTGAGGAGATAAAATAGTTTCTGTTCATCTGGCTGGGTAGTGTTCTGGAATGCAGTAGCTCTGCCTGAGGGGCCACTGCAGAGCACACAGAGGAACATTGTCATTCCCTGAAGAATGTGGCAGCCGCCCTGCACAGTAGGCTTCCCCCCTCCACCCCCATATCTAAGGGCAGCAACGAAGAGCTCTTAAAATAATAAACAGCTGGCTGTGGGCTCGCTACAAAAACCCCAGAATTCCAGTAAAATTCGACTTGACTGAACAGGTCTTAGACCACAGCACAGGAAACTCCAAAGTCCAAAGGCCTCCCACCCCCGCCCACCCTTTAGAATGATTGTCCCAAAGCTTTATGTCTGGGAGAGTCTCTTCCAGGAAGCAGCCAAGTGCAGGGGAATTCAAAGGCCTCTGTCTTGCTCTCCATCTTCAGAGTATGCAGCTACAAAGGTGGCCTGGGCTCTAAGTCTCTGCAGACCCTCAGAGCTGAAAGCAGAGCCAGCATCAGGGGAAGATGAGGCACAGCAGGAATCTAGATTAGGCTTATAGCAAAGAACCCTCTCCTGAACTTTTAGAGAGATACTGGAGCAAGCTGACAGTAACAGACTTATCTGCACTCTAGAAAAGTGAAAACAACAAAAGATGAGGAATCAAAGAAGAAGCTGGAGATTGTTTCTGGCTCTGCCATATGCAGATCAAGTCACTCTGGATAGATTAATTTTTCTGTGCCTCAGTTTTTCTATTTATAAAATGGGGATAATAAACTTGTCCTGGGTGCCATACCCATAGTAGATAATAAATAAATATGAATTATTTAATTAATTGGTGAGTGAATGACTAGTACATATTTCAAAGTTGCTTTGAGGATTAACTGAGGTGAATCTGTGACACTTGTTTCACAAATGGTAAGTGCAGCATTCAGAAAGCGCCACAAAGAAACTGACCTCACTAAGGACCCCTGAGAAAGGTTTCACAAAATGTGAGCTGCAGAATACTAACTAAATGATATATTAACAGGTATTCAGCAGGGGAAAGTTTTCATGGAACAATATTCAAAACATTGTGAGATAAATTTAGATGGGTTTCGGTCCTATATGACTTCTCAGGGTGTGTTGTAAATTTCCAAAAGACATAAGATGCAGCTTTTTCTTTTCTTTCTTTTTGTTTTTTCTTTTTTCTTTCTTTCTTTTTTTTTTTTTTTTTTTTTTTGAGACAGAATCTCTCTTTGTCACCTAGGCTGGAGTGCAGTGGTGTGATCTTGGCTTACTGCAACCTCCACTTCCCAGGTTCAAGCAATTCTTCTTCCTCAGCCTCCTGAGTAGCTGGGACTACAGGTCGATGCCACCATGCCTGGCTAATTTTTGTGTTTTTAGCACAAATGGGGTTTCACCATATTGGCCAGGCTGGTCTCCAACTCCCTACCTCATGATTCACCCATCTCGGCCTCCCAAAGTGCTGGGATGACAGGTTTGAACCATGCTGCCCACCCAAGATGCAGCTTTTTCTAAGCCCACTTGACTGCTGAACTTGTTTCACAAGGTTCTCAATAATACATTAGAAGACCCTGCTGGGGAAATGTACTTGTCTATTCCCATACTGCTATAAAGAAATACCTAAGACTGAGTAATTTATAAAGAAAAGAGGTTTAATTGGTTCATGGTTCTGAAGGTTGTACAGAAAACATGGCTGGGGAGGCCTTAGAAAACTTAACAGTCATGGTGGAAGGTGAAGGGGAAGCAGGCAAATTTTACATGTCCAGGGCAAGAGAAAGAGAGAGAAAGGAATAAGTTTCACACACTTTTAAACAACCAGATATCTTGAGAACTCTATCATGAGAACAGCGCCAAAGGTGGACATCTGCCCCCATGATCCAGTCACCTTCCACCAGGTCCCACCTCCAATATTGGGGATTACAATTTGTCAAGAGATTTGTGCAGGAACACAGACCCAAACCATATCAAGATATGACTGCTTTAGCCTACCCATGGGAAGAAGGACGTCCCATAGAAGTCCCATTATGAAATAACCACCCCGTTTTGGAGCTGCATATATATTTGCTTCCTTTCCTTTGCCAGAAATTCTCACAAGGCTGTAGCCCCTGCAATGTATTATAGGCAATAAGCATGATATATTTTAGCCTAAATTGTCTTCCATATGTAAAATGGAAACAAATATTGAGAAAGAAGACACATCTGCCAGATCTTTGAGCTCCCAACCCACCAATATCTAGGGCACCTACCACTGGTGGCAGACTGGCTGCACACAGCTTTAGCAACATCCACAGAGGTTAAAGTGAAGGACCTGGGTAACAAAAACAGCCCCACTTCTATCAGATAGAAGAGCTGAGGTGAATGAGCCCTATTATTTTCTTGGGGTCTGTGACACTGGGAGAGCCAGCAAAAATCCATGTAGTAGTCATGGGCAACCCCGCAGAGGAGTGTAGAAGAAGCCAGGGGAAAAAAAAGCATCAGGACTTTCTTCTCCAAAATAACCCACTCTGCTAGGTCAAGCAACTAGTTCCAAGAACTAACAGCTGGTGATAGATGTTTGTTCATGCTTATCTTCATATATAGGAACAGACATTTGCATTTAGCCCATCACAGATTTTTGAAGCCATTCATTAAGTGCCAAGTGATATCTGGCACTGGCATTTCCTCAGCATTCTGGAAAGAAAGCTTCCCTTTTGGGGTGGTGACCTGGTTTGTCTGGGGATCAGAAGATGATAGCAAACTGGTTTACCACCTCAGACAGGGAGATTTTGTCCATGGAGCTGCAACAACTCAGTGACAGGCTCAAGGAAGCCCCTTCCTGAGGAGCTCAAAGCATATGCGTTGCCTTGGATCAGCCATCTAGAGCCTGTCCCCAAGGTCCTGTCACCCCACAGGCAATCCACCTGAATCCACAGGTTTCAAGGTCATCTCAGGGATTTGCCCTTCTGCAATGCAAAAAGTAAAAGGCAAGGATAATACCCCAGAAGAAAATGTATGCATTTCTTCTTTAATGCCAACTAGAAAGCTCTAATACTCTTGAGTCTGAAAACAGCTTTCCATTACTTTCTGACGTATTCATTCAAAACTAATGACTCAAAGCTCTCCTGAACTAGATGTTTGTGATCAGAAGATGAATAAGACCTGGTTCGTTCCTGCAAGTACTCTGCAGAGTGCTGGGAGAGATGAACGTGCAAGTCAGTACAGTCCACAGTGGTGAGTAATTTCATAGAAAAAGCACAGAGTCAGGAGAAACCCCGAGAAATAGTCTGAATCTAGTCTAAGGGAGGAGTTGCTACAATGGATCCTCAGCTAAGGCTCGAGGAGGAAAGAAGTTGGTCAAGTGAAGAAAGAGCATGAGAGAGATGGTTTCCAGATAAAACGAAAAAGAAAGAAGGCAGGTCCTTGGCCCTTTTGCTTGTTCCCATCTGCATTAGTTTTCTACTGCTGCCATAAGAAACTACCACAGGTTTGGGTGGCTTAAAGCAACACAAATCCATATTTGAGTTCCAGAGATGAGAATTCTGAAAGAGTTCTCATGAGGTTACCATCAAGGTGCCAGCTGGGCTGCATTCCTTCTGGAGGCTCTAGTGGACAATTCATTTCCTTGGCTGGTGACCTTCACTCAGCAATTGAAACCCTCTGAACTCTCTTTCTGCTGTTACTTCTTCTTTTCCAGCTCTCATTCACCTGCCTCCCTCTTCCACTTATGGGGACTCTTGTGATTACATTGGATCCCCCAGATAATCCAGGATTATCTCCCCATCTCAAAATCCTTGGTTGCACCTCCAAATCCTCTTTTGCTGTATTCACTGATACTGAAGTTTAGGACATGGACAACTTTATAGAGGAGGTGGCGGGGGAGGGGGGTTATTCTGAATATCACACCTTCTATGGCCCTAAACTTTTCCAGCTATAAAATGGGTTGGATCTGATGGTCTCCAAAACCCTGTTCAGCTCTGCCAGTTGTAGAAAAGTGTTAACCAGAGACTAGAGTCTGGCAGGTGAAGTCTGGAGACAGAAATGTGACTCCATGCCAGATATGTCTTAACAATTCAAGTGGTCTTTGATTTCTGGTCTTTGGTACAAGAAAGGAAACCCTAGGATATGCCCAGCCATACATGTCAATGCTTCTATAGCCTTCTTACTGGTAGAGACTCCAGGAAGCTGGCTTATTTACATCTGGAGCAAAATGAATTCCAAAGAAGATTCTCTTATTTCATCACCTTGAAAACCCAGTTCTAAAATTCCCCAGGTCTCTAGAATAAAACAACAACAACAACAACAACAAAAACTTTTAAATATCACAATCTAATTCATTTTAACTGCTCCCCCACCAAATTCACTTAAGAGTTCACCAAATCCCTACTCAAATCATTGCAGTAAATGTGATAGTAAATTAAAAGCTTGCAGCACAAAATGAAGCCAAGTCAACAATCATTTTCACTGAAAAGATGGCTAATTCCCATTGGTCAAGGGAGAGAATTAAATGAGTAGGGGAAAATAACATTGCCTGGCAGGAAAAAGTAAAAATAAAACCTACAACAAGAGTCTAGGACTTTGAGCTCAAGTTTTAATTTGGCCCCTATATTATAAGGTCACTGTGAATAACCCCTTTCTTTTTTGTGTTCTTGAGTTTTCTTCTCCTGTAAAAAGAGAGAGAGAGAGAAAGAGAGAGGGAGAGAGGGAGAGAGAAAGGAATCAGGTCGAGGCCCTTTAGGCTTAGCATTCCAAAACTAGGAGGAGGGAGGGGAGAATATTTCCCTTAAGAGTGATTTAGGAATAGGTTTTCCTTTCTGAGTCTGCAGGTCAGAAGAAAACAAGTGATGTGAACTCCCCAGCAAACTTCTGAGAAGTACTGGCTCCATCCACACAGGTCTAAGATGCTATCAGTACAGAACTTTCCACCTTTGCTAACATTCCTTATCTTCTGTCATCTGCACAGTGACTGTGAAAAATGTTCTCAGTGGGTGTTTCTGATTCATTTTCATGATGGTACCATGATGTCTGAAGAAGTTAAAGTTTAAGCTCTCTCCCTTCCAATTGGCCTTTACAACTCTGTGGGTCTGGCCAGCAACTGGGCCAATTCCTGAGTTTTCCAGAAAGGCAGATCTGAGCAGGGCAAGTGGCTGTATTGCTAAGGAGAAAACTCATCTGCTTTTAAATGGTGCTCTTAAAATGGTGCTCTTATAAGGTGGCAACAAATGCACCCAGCCTGTCCATCCTCCATTTCCAGCTGGTGTTATGAAGATCTCTATCTAGGAATAAACTTCCTTAAAGATAAAACAACAGGCTTAAGCTTTGGAGACAATAGTAACATTGTCTTGGGTGTTTGAGACACTACATTACTGCGAAAGGCACTTAGAGAACACAGTGTATTCTTCTCATTGATTCCAACACAATTTATGTATTGTTCAGGAGCTAGCCCTGAGCAAAGTTAGAGACGAGTCGGGATTTGGGGTGCTTGAAAACATTAAAGTCAGCCTGCAGTCCTCAGGGGTTAAAGAGAATTGTGTTTTACTGTGACATATTTTGTAACAGTGTGACTGCCACACAAGCAGGGATTCAGGGTGCTTTCCAACTTTCAGTCTCAGCTTCAAACACACCTGAAGTATATGCAGGTGTGCATGTGTGTAACGTCTGTGCATGCGTGCTGGCCTGTTTAGAAGTTTGCATGTGTTTGTATTGGCATGTGTCTGTGTACAAAGTGTGCCCAGCTGTGAGTCTGGCTTTCTGGTGGGCATGGTAGACTTGTTTTGAGTGCAGAGAAGTGAACATCAGAAGTGGAGCATACTGGCATACTAGGACACGCATGCCTACACAGGTGTGTGTGTGTAGACAGATGCATGCACATCACCTGTGTCAAGTGTGTTTTCATGTGTCGAGAAATGGGGTTTTATAAATATGTGTGACTGTTGACAGGCCCATAGAATCACCAGCCTTTATGATCAAGTACAGAAGACAATGTTGGTCCAAACCAAACCCCAGCTGCTCCCAGACTCCCTCATTTGTTGCAGAGTTTTTTTTCCAAACACTTATTATGTGCAAAGTCTTGTCTTAGATACTGGAAAAGAGTACAGAAAGAGGAGATAAGATTTATACTCTTAAAGAGGTCACCACACAGTTTGAAAGACCAGATATATACACCTGGATGGTAGAGATCATCCCTCAGCAGAAAATGGCCTAGTCAAGGCAGCACTGTCTGAATAAGGCTGTCCAGATACCTGTTACCTTATTTTAGGATATCTCAACAAAGCTGACAGCAGCAACAAAACGAATATTTTCAACATTCTGAGTGAATTCTCTGATATCTAATTGTTCTTCATGAACAGTTAACATAGGCTTTGTCATGTAAGACAAACTGTAAATAACATATTTACCAGGTATGAGATTAACATTGGACTTTTCCTCATTAAGGAACTGAAAAGAATGTTGTAAAGGTTACATAAATTCTAACGATGATGATAATGATGTTGACAATGATAGTACATTAAGATTAGCCTAGATATTTATTACATCCTCAAATGTGCTGAGGATTGGATTAAGTGAGTACAAAGATTTACATGATGAGTTTGGATGGTGTCTGTGTAAATAGAAAACTCTGAAAAGAAATCTGAAGAATAAGTCTACAAGGAGACAGAGAGGATAACTGGCAGAGAAAGCAGTGAGTGTGGGGACCTGGCTCATTTCCCACAGGATCTGTGCTTCCCAGGGAGCCCTCCAGTGACCCTGGGCTTTGCAGTGTGCCCCAACACAGTGCTCTTAATTGAGTAAGGCTGAAGAGGAGACCACTCCTGGGAGACTGATTTTGTAGGAGTGGTGGCCATCCTTGTGGCCAAGTTGGTTGTTCAACCTTCAGTCCATTCTACTCTCAGTTCACTGCTTTAGCAAAACCTGGCCTGAAACACGAACCCTTCTGTGTCTTATAAATAATGTAATAAGGTGTCACTTTCAAAGTCAGCACAGATTTTAGGTTGGCCACAGCATTTCTATGAGTATCCATACTAATAACCAATCTCCTCAGATTGGTAGTTCCCTGAGGTTACCCAAAACTTTCATATTCACAGTTTAATTTGTCTGAACAACAACCTTTAAGGTAGGAAGAATTAGGCAACCCAAGATTATTCCGGGGCAGATCAACCCATGTGAAAAGAGTGACATTATTATTTATTGGTTAAACATCTACATGTTGGAAGACATCTATTGC